TAGGGAACCCCCCCTCCAAGGCTGTGGGCAGCCTAGAGAAGGGCATCCCATGATCCCCGAGTGGCAAAGACAGAGAGAAAAAGCAACCTCAGCGAGGGGGAAAGCGGGCGCCTGAGAGAGCAGGGAAGGACAGGGCAGGACAACATTTTCCCTGCAGCTTCTCCAGCCTCCCTTCCCTTCCCTTCCCTTCCAAACCACCCTTGCTAAGCAAGCTGAAAAGCTGGCCTAGCAAAACCTCAAAGAGGGGAGGCGAGGACCGCTTCCCCCTCTACTCCCCACTTCCCTGGCAGGCCTCCGGAATCCCAGCAGCATTCCAGCTCAAGCACATGGATGCAATGAGTCAGACCCTCGGTCTCTACATTTATGGTGGCCGGCGCAAGTTCTACCCCACAAGCCTCTTTCTAACTCCCTCTGCCATTAGGACGACGGGACGACATTTACTGCTTGGCTCAGTCATTCTCTGGATGAGTTTTAGAGTTGCTCTCATTTAGCCAGGAGGGATTTGGTGCTCTTTAAAGCCAGACACAGGGAACCTGGGACGCTGGAGTGCAATGCCCACCCCCTCTGACCAGTAGGCATACTGGCTCAGGCAGGATGGAGTCACTGACCCTCTGGAGGGAAACAGATCCCTTGCCCTGAGTTTAAGCACTTTTTGCTGCCCGAAAAACTTAAGTCAAGCCTTCCCCAAACTATTGGTCTCCCCAGTGTGCTGGACTCCAATTCCCACCATCCACAGCCAGTGAGAATGATGAAGGCAGGTGTCCCAACACATCTGGCAGGGGCTTCACCTAGCTGACTGATTGCAATAAAGAGAAGCGGTAAAACATGTACACAAGACGACAATGTTGTTTCTGGTTATCCATCTAACCCGGCCTTGTTTTCCCCAAGTAAAAGCAATTCTTTCCAGCACCTGCAACTAAGGATCTGTGCGGAACCCGATCAGGAGATGAAAATCTAGTGGATTTTTTAAGAAATCATCTTTAAATCCTGCTCCGAATTCCAGTTTGCCAGCCACGTGCTGCCGCTGACTTGTCGGGTGTGATTCAAGACAACTCACACGCTTTCGTTTCTACGTCAGATTGCAGCGTGGGCATTTTCTAAAATTTGTCATGAACTGCAAGGAAAGTGGGCAGGTGTGATTGGCACAGATTTCCTTAGCAGATTTTGGAAATGCTACCCAAATGCACAAATTAACTCGCTTCCATTCACTGGATCAGATGACACAGAAAATCTGCCACCTGGGCCCACCTTTACCTGCAACAAAACCCCTTTAAAATGGGAAATACTGGGGATGAAGCAGCCCCTTCCATACACACAAACTCATGCCTGGCTCCTGAGCTGCCGTCCCTTTCCCTGGGTCAGGCATGGCAGCTTCACCCGGAATTGGGCACACCTTCCCAAGGCCACCTTTTGCAGCCTGAAGGGCTAGAAACTTGATTTGGAGATTTAAAAAATAATAATTTCTCAGGATTCAGAATGCTTCACCAATCTGATACGGACAATGAGCCATGTTCCAAAGATTTGCTGCGTTGCCTTCCCCGCCACTTCGTCTGACCTTTCGTAAGCGATACACAACACTGAGTTTAGTATGCCAAAAATAGACACAGGTACAAGCAACGCCACTCGGAAAGGAGGGGGCTGTATTACCAAGAGGTTATTAAATTTCAAAAACAGATGCGTGACGGCATTTAAAAAGTGTGTGGAGGGGTATTCTTTCCTGAAAATGTGTGCAAAACCCAGCAGACAGGTTCCTCAGAGTTCAAAAGACTCACCCGCTACATAGTCTTGCCTTATTTATTCATTGCCAATATTTACAAACCAACTCTTACTTGAAACAAATTTCAAAGTGGTTTATAGAAGAAGGAAAGCTGAGAAAACAAGCAAGAATGAACGCATGCACCCTTGCAACTTAGGTTGCCACATGAATTCACTTTAGAAGAAAACAAGCGTTTCCCAAGTCAGATCAAAGAGCCCTCCAGCCCAGTATACCGTTTCCAACAGAGGACAAGCGTCACCTGCCAGACAAGGTGAAAGTAAAGGACCCAGCAAGTAAAGGTGAGGTATATTACTTTGCAATGGTATTACTATAACAAGCCACCCTTCGCAGAAAAACATGAAGCAGCATTAATGGATGGGTTCGTTGAGTGAGGGTCCCTTCTTTTTTTTTTTTTTAAAGCCAACTAAGTTCAGGGCCAGAACTGCCGCTTGGGGGTGGGATTTGCATAAATTATGTGCTGAAGCAAAGAACCAGAGACCATATTGCCCAAAGTTAGAAAGATGTGTGTGATGTTCTTCCATGGAAACCTGGTAACACAGATTAGCTGTGGCCTCCTCTGCCCCTCCTGGCTTGGCACCCATGAAGGAATTTTATGGGTGAGGTGGGGGAAATAAAGGCTAGGGAGGCGTCCCTGGCTACCCAAGGTCAAATAGGACTGGGGTCTCTCATGCAGAACATTTGGGCCTGAACAGCTTTTTCGTGGTGGCCCCCAAGCTCCCTGCGCATCCTCATTTAATTTTATTTCTTAAGATCGGTCGCTTTACCACAAACCTTAAAACTTGGAGATTAATATCCTTCAAAGCAAGAGGCTGTGCTCCAGCTCCCTCGTTATGCGGGTTCGAATCAGACGTTTTGTGTTCCAGAGCAAAATCCCAGCCTTTGCCTTCTGATTATGTCCTTGGGCACGTCAATTTCCCCCCCTTTGCCTCACCTCCGGCCTTCTTGGAAAGGGGTGCTTTGCAGCTGGCCCATCCCACCATGGCAGCCATTTTGCAACAGCACCCACAACACTCTCCCAAAATTCCCAACATGTCAGCTCCCACCCTCTTCCCATAAAGTTTGGGGATCCCAGTAGGTAAAAGAGAGAGGAAATTCCCCACCTGGAAGCAAACAGAGGCGTGATTTACACTTTACAAACTGGATCAGCTACAGATTCTCCATGCAAAGGGATTCGGAAAGCTAGCGTGTCAGGTGTAAAGACAAAAGCCTAGTTTTCTGCAAGAAGGGAATTTGGGGTGCCCTTGTGAATATTCAATATGCACCTTTCACCTTCACTCTGATGCCCAGGCTGGCCACCCCAATAAGAATTAGTAGCCCAAGGCACAGAGGGATCCTAAAACCTTCTCTCCTTACAAGAGAGATCTCTTTGCTCTGTTGTGAAACCCGAATCATTTTTCCTAATAAGACAGACGCCTAGCACTTCTTTAAAGCGCTGTGATGCAGCAGGGAGATCTCGAAGCTCCAGGTTTGAGCTGCTGCTCAGCCATGGAGTCAACTGGGGGAGGACTTTGGGCCTGGAACGGCCGCTCAGTCCAACCTACCTCACAGGGTTGTTGTTGTTGCTGTGTGAGGATAGATTAAGAGGAGGAGGAGGGGAATTATGTAAACCATCTTGAGTTCCTTGGAAGGAAAAGAGGCGAGATACAAATAGAGTCAACATAATAAACAAATAATCTTTTTTCTCCTGCCACCCAAACAGCAAGGGAAGTCTTGGGACAGGCCATTCCAAGCAAATTATTGGGAAGGAGAGGGACTCCAACTACGTACGTGGCCACCACGGGACACAGGCACCCCCCAGGGTACAGAAGACATGGCTTTCTACGAACACAGTACCTGCATCGGTCTCCTGGCATATCCAGGGGCCAGAAGGATACCTGGGAACCACCTGAACGCAGGTGTATTCCCCACACCACCTTTCCGAATAGCCCCCCTTCATTCAAAAGCTCATCTCCTCCCCAGATTATACGAAACCCCTCGATTCGCCTCTGTGCCATCACAGGGCACCACCCAAAACGAAGACGCCTGGTGCTTCCAGAGATGCAGTCCATTCTGGGGGCTGGTGTGGCACGAGAACCCACCTGGCCCACCCATCAGCCCTCTCGGTGCCCCTCCCCCAGTCCGGACATCATCTGGCACTTCCTAGGCCTTCGATGGTGCAGGCAGAAGGGCAGCTGGGGGAAGCCAAACACACCCAGAGCCTCCTGGCATACCTCCCCCCCCCGCCCAGCCTTAGAGCTAACGATCTGCCAATGCACGCACCCCGCTTTCCTTAGCAACCTGCATTTAAGAGGGGACTCCCCCGCATCATCTCTGCTTAGGTAGCACTACAGGAGGTGAGACAGAAAGGACCCCTGACACCCCCCAAATGCAACCCCCTTGCCCGTTAAAAACACACACACAACCTCAATCCCAGAAGGCAGTCTCTGTCGCAGGCCCTGATGCGTGTACCCCAAAATCACCGGAGGCCCACAGCAACCAAGCTTCTCTGGGGAACATGCCCATGGGGGGGGGGGTCCTACTGAGCATCTCCCCAAATCGAGCTTACCTCCAGCAGGCTACCATCAAACTCACAGCCCTGCTGGCAACACAGTCTCCGGAAAAGCACAGCCACAGTGCCTCTTACCTGCGTGGACAGGTGAGGAGGTTTCCTCCCTCACCCCGACCACTTCAGGAACTTCACGCATCTTTGCCATGTAGGGCCATCACAGATGCATCCATGCGCCCATTCCCCATAGGGTGCCACGCCGGGGAAGCCCCCAACACAACCCAGTCCACCGAGCCCAATTTTGGCCCTTATTCCCCGGCAGGGCTTGCATCTTCCAGGGCAACACACCACGCTGGCTTCCTGGCCTGCTAACAACCCCCTTCTCCATTTCATCTGATCAAAGCCACGGAGGGGAAAGTGGGAAGGGTAAACACCCACCATTTCAGCCACAGCTTCCTTCCACCACCCAGAAAGTCGCCCATTTCAGATACAAGCTCCCAAAGAGCCAGGACGCTCCCAAGCCAGGAAGAAGTCCCCATTTTCACAGCTGACATGACATACGGTGTCGCCCTTCTGGGGAGAAAACAGGTGCTGGGGCAGAGACGGAGGTGCCTGAACCCCAGCGGACAAGACAGACTTGTGAACAAGACACTCGTGCCGGGGAAAAACCAGGAAGGGGGCTTAGTTTGCAAACAACCTTCTCGAAAAATGGGCAGAAAGAGGAGAATGCCAACTTACCCAAAATCCTGATCCATAGACTTGAAGAAAAATTTGTAGCTATGCACAGACCGGTTGCTGAGGACATTTTTAAAATCCGCCAAAGTCACTTTTTCCGGAGAGACGGGCAATTTCACCAAATAAGGGGTTTCCTCTTCGTCAATGTGATAAATGATTTTTGTCTCCGCCATGGAAGAAGGAACCGGGGTGGAGGGGGGGGAGAGGGGAACGGGGGAGAGGCGCGCTTGGCCAAGCGGAGGAGCGACACGAGAAAGCAGGGGGGCGGAAAAGGGGGGAGGAGGAAGAGGAGGAGGAGGAGGAGAAAGGGGTGGCGGGCACAAACCCAAGGCCAAGTTCAAGGTGCCAGTCCCTGGGATCCCGCGGTGCGCGAGGCAAGGCTCGCCTCCAAACAGGAAGGGAGATGTCACTGCTACCGGAGGGATCCAGGCACGGAACCGAGGCCGGGCCCCACACCGCTCCCTAGCTGCTCAGACGGAGAAGGACAGCTTGGCACGGGCTCGCCAGAACGCATCCTCCCCGATCCAGGGGGCTGGGGGCTTGCCGCATCCAGAGGCGACCCTCCTCGCGGCGGGCAGGACCCGGCCGCGCACAAAGGAAAGCACCTTTCTTGCTCGCGCCCGCGCCCGCGCCCCCGGAGCAGCCAAACCGGAGGAGAAACCAGCCTTTCGGGGTTACACGCCCGAGCATCAATGTTGCAACGCTGGAACCGGAGCGGAGGCGAAGGCGGAGCGGAGCTGGCGGTCCTTCGGCCGGCCGGGAAGGATTTGGAGAGCTGGGCAGGAGGCGCGGGGGAAGAGGGAGCCAAACCCGAGCGCTCCCCGCTGTCCTGCTTAAATAGCAAATTAGGAGCCTCCTCTACGAGCCCCAGCTGTGCAGGGCGAGCAAAAAAAAATGCCCCCGCCCGCCGCCCCTCCCCGCCCACGCAGTTTAAAGGGAACGCGCCCGCCTTTCGCTTGGCGAAGGCGCAGCGCCATGGCGCACGCGCGCAGAGCCGGGGTGGTGTTGCGGCTGGTTGGTTTTTTTGGGGGGGGGGGGTCGCAAAGGGGCTGCAAGGATACGCGCGCAAGGGGTGGGGAGGGGGCTTCCAGAAAGAGGTGCAAAAGCAGCGCAAGCCCTCTCTCTGCACCAATCGATGCGGGGTTTCCGAGGCGGTCATGTGATGATCACCCCTCCCTCTTCCTGCTTTCCTGGCTGGGTGGAAATTCCGCCCCCCCTCCCGACCCCTGGGCTGGTCCCGTGCAAAAGCGGATGGGGCTTTTGTGCCGGACCGGGGGGAGGGGGGCGGGTGTTCGCCGATGCCGCGTGTCCCGCTGGAAAAATTCCTTCTCCGTCTAGGCTTTCCTCCCCGTCATTTTCAGCCATCCGTTTCTTTATTGATTAGAGTCATATCGCGCCTTTCCTCCACTGCAAGGAACTCGCGGCGGTTTTCCTGCTTTTCCTGTCCCCTAATGTATCCTCACAACCCAGAGAGGCAGGCTGAGCCAGAAACACGGAGTGAGCTGCATGGGAACTACAACCTGGATCTCCCCAAGATCCAGTCCAGGATTCTAACCATTGCACCACACAGCCCTTCCCCCCCCCACTTCATTTCCTCTTGCAAGGAACCTCAAGCAGCTTGCAAAGTACTGCTCTTCTCCAGTTGTATCCTCACAACAACCTGGTGAGGTAGGCTATGCTGAGGGTCTGTGATGGGCCCCCAAAGTCACCCAACAAGTGTAATAGCCAAGTGAGTATTTACATCCAAGTCTCCCAAGTCCCAGTCTAAGAGTCTAACCAGTAGACCACACTGTCAAACAAATGAGGTTATAGATACAGGCATTTCCTCTAGCAGACTGTTTCTTTTAGACCGAAGAGCTTTAGGACAGGTGCAAACACATGTCAAATATAAACACACACACCATTTTAGAGACTTTGGTTTTAGGTTCCGACAGCTGTTTTTACACATCCTTTCTATGTATCCATTCCTGTGCAGTTTTCTCATTTTATGGTGTATTTTATCTTTTTAATGATTGCCATCTGCCCTTCCAACAGGATGGTCAGAAACAGTGCTGCGAACACCACACTTGTCTTTCTCTAGGTTGATTTCCCTGCTTTTTAAAAATCTGTTTAACGATCTGTTGAACGGAACATGAGAAATAAAAATGGAGGAAACTGGTCAGGAAAGGGTGCATAATTCTCTGTGAAAGGTGCACGGGACAGCGGAGGAGGAGACAGCCAGAAGGAAAAGTGGCAATTCTCTTTTGAAGATGTTGGGTTTCATTCCAAACTACACCTCTGGTCTCATAACATACATTTGCAGAAAACATAAACCTGCATTCTTCCTTGTGAAGTTCTTTAAAATCTTTAACATTCTTCCACTGTGGATAAGTAATAATCCATTTTTTAAAAACCCAGGTACAGTGAAGCTAATTTTAAAATAGGGAAATGCTTTCTGAACACTTCCTTGAGGTTACACACGCCCAAGGATCCTGAACTGTGATTTCGCTGGGGTCTCTAATGGGTTCCCAGCAACACCAGTGCACACAGGAACATTTTCTTGGCAACCCTGCAGGGCCGTTTTGGCCATCTTAATGGAATGCACGCCACACGTGCTCAGGAACACCATCTCCGTATTGCTACATCATAACCCCCAGGTACTGAAAAAAGTTAAGCTGCCGCCTGCAAACCTTATGTGCCTACAATCCCTACATAGCTTGTAATAAGCTTGTTGGCCACTGAGGGGAAGCAAAACCATTGCCTCAAAACAAGGAAGCCGAGAACCTTTAAATGCCGGGGAGCTCCTAGGCACACCACAATGTCCAGAAATGAGAATCTTTCCACCGAGTCATTTTGCCTGGAGAGTCTCAGAGGATGAGAGGACGGGTGGCAAAGGGTTTGCGCTAGAGATCCATACAAATCTCGTGAGTTGCTATTTAACTTCTACGCTGCCCAACAGACAAAGTTCCCTGGGAGGTGCACGACAATCAATCACAACACAACCTGAAATGCACTGCAGTATGAAAGTATTGAGTGACGCATATTTTTTTAATGCCTGGTTGGAAAGATTGCTCCTTTCCTGGAATACAAAATTGGACTTGGAGGGGGTGGGGGATCACATAGAAGAGTTTCAGGTTTATGAAATGGGGGGGTGGGGTGGGGTTGTGACCTGCCTGCACACCCCCATGCTGCAGTGCTGAAACATGGGCATCGGCTCCTGAACAGCCACTGAGCCAAGCAGGTCAGCACATCAAGTCCCAGAGGCCTGAGCTCTGGGCTGCCTGGCCGATCGCCCTTCCCTCTGCAGACCTGTGTGATTCATTGCACAAACAAGCAAGCAATGTCTGAATCATCGCACAAACCGCCCTGCAACCTGCGATTATGGGATGCCCTCCCCGCATAGCGGGAAGTGTGTTTCAGGAACCCGTTAAAGTGCTGGGGGTCAGTCCGCTGGTCAGTTTCTCAGTTAATTACGGTAGTCTAAGCATTTGGTTTTCAAATCAGCAGCAATGATGCCTATAAATGCATTTGTATCTTTCATGATATATTTTAATCGTCACTGCAAACGGCTTACAAAGACTTTTAGATTCCATCAGTCTCATTCCTTTTCTTGTTCTCCTTGGGCAGTTTTCCATTCCAGCTGGCTGCTACACGACAGCAAAAACTATCTTGTACTATCCGGAACTTCATTTCTGCCCGAATTTGTAGTGAAGAGCAGCACCTGGGTTTCCTTTCCTTTCCCTTCCCTTCTTCTCCCTCTTTTAATTGAGAAGATGGTGAAGATTTAGGTTTCACACTGCCTGATTTCTAGTATGTGGTTGCTCTGATTCAAAGAACATTTTTGTTATTTTGAGAACACGAAGTTTCATTTTTGCTGTGGGTTTGCAAGAACATATCAGGCTGTGACAAGCCCCTAAATGCAGACAGTGTGAAAGCAAACTTTTCGGCAGGAAGCTGTATAATTGTATCTGTTTTCAGCTTTTCCAAAGAACGGAGATCCAGGCCCTTTAGCAGCTCCACAGTTGGGGGCTTCCAAGATGCTTACTGCTAGTTTTCTGCTAGCCAAACAAGGGCAGGGCAGGAGCCCAGATTCTGGGTCTCTATACAACCCATTAGGATCTGCAGTGATTTGGCTCCCCCAAATGGCCTGCTCTAAAAGGCAGCTTGGCCCATCTTGCGAGTGCTTGCAGAGTCGGTATCAGAACTGCAGGCTCTTGCAGGGTGAGGACCAGTGCACCGATGAAGGCCAACTGGAAGCCAGAAACAGCTCTATAAAAGTCTTGTCCTCAGTCGTGACAAACTGTCGGCTTTGTGGTCCCACGCAGGAGTGATGGAGAACTGGGCAAGATGTAGGAAGCCCAGCGGGGAAGGAAGTCAGGCCTGGGGAGGGACAGGAGGCAGATGCCAGATCAGGAACGCAAAGACTTCTGGCGCTGTAGGGTTAGGGTTGAGCAAGCCCTTTTTTGTGCTCCCAGCTGGCGCTCAGCCTTGCACTGGGCCTAATCCCGCTCCACCAGGGCCCCCAAGAGCCTGACACAAGCAGTCCACACTGGAGTTGCTCGTCTTCCATGCTGTGATGGAGGAAGCCCTTCCAACCAGTCCCAATTTCATCACCAGGCTGGGACTGAGCCACCAACCCAACCAAGGCCTCAAAAGCCCTCATACAGAGGCATTCACCCAAAACTGTAAGAGTTACACATTCCAAGCCGCCCCCGTCCTTTTCAAATGAGCCTTCACAAGAGCAAAACTCAGTCCATTCCCGCCTCTGAAAGTTCAGAGGCAGGAAAACACCCCCTCAGGGTTGGAAGGTCAGGAAAAACTCCGTCCACAAGAGCTGGAGTCCACGGCCAAGTGGATCCTTGAGGTCCACCTTGTTACCAAGGCAACAAGCGTGTCTCCTATGGAAAAGAGATGCGGCTGCGGACACACAAGCGAATATTGATTCCAGAGTTGCAGAGGAATAAAATGAATAATAAAATGAAACGAACACATCCCGTCTTCTGTGCCAAGACCTTTCTTTGCTCCTTTTTCCTTTCTTGGAAAATTGTTTCTTCTGAATAGCTAAGTTATAACGACAGTTCACATAATCCATTTTTTAAGGACACGGCAGGCTACAGTGTCCAAACAAAGGGAACTCTTTCAAGAGGCAATGTAATGACTGCAGCTCTGACAACTCTGGGCCAAAAATCAGGGGTTTTCTTTCCCTGTTTTAAAAAGAATTATTCCTTTGCTGCACGTGAAAAATACCTTTCGGGGTACAGAACAGCTTGAGATATGTGTCAGTCTCCTGTAGAGCACTGGATACCTCATGATTTTGGAGGAAAACTATCCTATTTTATTCGGTGCAATAAATTACAGGGCTCTGATATACCAAGTCCAGTCAAGTGGGGACAGCCTGTTGCCAGGAAAAGTTGCTTCGAGAGCGAATTTTCTTTGACTCACGATGAGCTGGACTGGCTTACAGCAAGTTTTCATCTGGGTCAGGGGATGTCACATGACCCATTCTGGCCTATCATTATTGAGTGCCTGCAGCACGGTCCTCTCGCTGGGAAGAGGTCAGGTTCAACTCAATGGGATGCACACTGCTTTTCGAAAGTTCCCTTTACAGCACTATTTCTGAAATCAGTGTTGCAGTAATCACAAGAGAGAAAACCGAAGTATCTGTCTCTGTTTGCAGCCCTCGAATTCAAAACTCTGTACAAGGTCAGGATTTGGTGGAGGGGCTTCTTTTTTTTTGCAAGGATGAGCATTTAGAAGTTTTAGTCTGACTGGGAAAGGGAAAGACTTTTGAAAGGGGGGGACCTTCCATCTTGACTTGGTAAAGTGTTTAAGGCCACAGAACGCACTGCGTCCCCAGAATTTGGACACAAGACCTCCAGGGCACAGTCTTGTTTTTGAATGACTGGCCATTAAAGGTAAAGGGTTGGATCCAGACCTGACGGCTTTGGGATATTTGGGATTTCCCCGTTCAGAGTCCGACATCTGACTCTTGTGCTCCCTGGTGGGGCAGAAATTACTACATTGGCTCTCACCCAAGGTCAGGAATTTGACTTTTGGGGAGGGCAGAGATGTTCCTGTGGGTGGTTAGTAAGAATAACGAAGTGAGGATTTGAACACTACACTGAGCAGACAACAGTTTCCTCCGCAGGCTAAAAAGCCCCTCCCAAAATCTTCAGGAGATGGGAAGACCATCCTCCACCATCCCTCTGCCCTAAATAATTGGGTACCTCCCAGTTCGGGGGCTTCCAATCACAGAAGAGCACAATAAACAGGATTGGTGGGACTTACATCAAGTCCCATCATCCCCAGCAAAGGGGAGCTGCGACTTAAATCCCATCAATGCCCATTTAGCCTGGCTGTGGTCCAAAAGGACCATAAAAAAGCAGACTTCGATCTCACCACTCCATCTTTAGCACAGCAAGCAGGGTAACAAATGTACGAAGGTAAAAGGTTTCCCACTTGGACTGGAATATTTTATTTTGTTCTAAATGACAGTCATCTCTCTGAATTAGCATTGCACCTACAAATGAGCATGTGCAAATTTTAGGCAAACCTGCCCCCGCTAGCAGTATCTAATTGGCTGCTCTAAACAGACCCCCCACGTACCCAGAATCCTCTGCAATGAACCAGAATTCCATACTAAAAGAATTCCATACTGGAAGAAATGCCTCTTGTGGAGTCGGTTTTGTTTTCCCCCTCTGTTAAGCTGTTTTGCAGCTCTGGGCGAACTGAAGGAAATATTTAAACGTGGCAAGAGAGTGATGAATAAGCCACTTCGGTTCAAATATACACTAGCTTGGGACAGGCAGCTTCGGTGATTTGATCTTTGACTAGCAAATGCCGGAGGGAGGGAGCATATAGACCAATTGCATAAATACCATTATTGCCAGCAACAAGAATGCAAGCTTGGCTTCCAACAGAGACAGCAGGCGGGCCAAGTTCTTTTGAAGAATTTTGGATGTACGTACACACAAACCCCTCTCCTGCTAGGCTACAAGCCTTGGAGACGAAGATAAACTCTAATTTTGGCATCCATCTTCGGGCATTTTACTGGGAAGTAAAATGGTGGGTTGGTTGCAGCCCCTCTTCCCAAAACAGCTGCTAGGTTTGGGAAGTGTTGGTCTCGATTTAGGAAGGGCCTGAAAACATATGCCAGAAACCAACCTCTTCTGGGTTTGGAAAGGGATGCAAAGCCAGAGTTCTTATTCAACCTTCCGACATTCAGTTCCTGCTCCAAAATTGCTAGAAGCTCAATCCATCAGTGGATGCACCTTTCACCAAACTATGGAGCTGAAAGGGAGCACTTATCCAGCCCCTGTTGGATGCAGGAAATGTGGAATTAGAATCACTGGAGCAACTAGCTAAGTCTAGACACTGCTCTTCGTGTTTTTCACCCCCATGCTGGGGAATGAGCACAGAATCTGACCAGGGGTTCAGAGCTAATAGGGTTTTTGTTTTTTTGTTTTTTTTTACAATGTGGCCCCGTGGATTTTGGCTCGTTAGCCACTGCCGCCCCTTGTGTCCCTCCCCACCCCCACCCCACTGTCACCAACATGTTGTGGTGTGAGTCACGCAAGCTCTCAGTTCTGTGTCCAAGATGGAGCACATTCACACGTTAAAAAGTAAAATCTATGGCTATGTACACCATTTGTAAAAGTGGCCTGGTTTGTGCACATCAGAAGCTGGAAACTAGGCCCGTCTAGGGTGACTTGCCCCGATCACACCAGAATTATGTAGTTTCTGACTTCCCATTGGCACAAATCGTGTTATTTAAACCACAGTGCTCTGCAGACGGCCACTTGGAATATGCAAAGTGGGTTCACAAACCACCCAGGACCCATGGCCTGTTTTAGGGTTGTGGATGGCTTGTGAACCACATGCAAACTCCACCCATGCCAGGCTCAGGTGACCCACCAAGCTGCAGCCCTAGCTTGAATACTCCAAAGCCACCTGCCGTGTAGCAGGATGGACTGCGGCTTCATCTACCCATGGCGGGTTGTTTTGATCGCCTGAACCAATGCCACAAGGTGACAAGCCAGTCTCGCTACCTCTGGGTGCCCTTCTGCGCATTTGGCAGAGTGGAGGCCCAGGACAGCTGCCCCCCAAAGTCCCTCCCTGACCCTCAACTGACCACGTGGCCTTATCTTCAAGAGACAGCTCTCCAAACCCTGCCTGACAGCGACCAGTGACAGAAAGCATAGCTCTGTTTTCAGTTCACTGCGGCTGTCGAGGGATCCCCTGCCGACTGATTAGGATGTCTTTAACCAAAGGACCGAGAACTCCACGGGTCCTAAGCTGGAGGAAAACCAATGACAGCAATCAAGAAACCGTTAAGCAAGTGGAGTTGAGCCGTGAATTATGTGCAGTGGTGTTAGAGGACAACCTGAAGCAGCCTTTGGTATGAGAATGTAGGCCTCATCTGTGTATTTTTCTGTTCCAGCTACGAAATGCTTGAAATGGTGCAGAAGCCACCCAGCAATGGAAACAGGCATCAGAGTCCCGGGAAAGGTAATATCAGGGGTCACCGGAGACACCTGTGTCACTGGGGCTCCTTATCGTGGCAGCTTTTATTTTGAGCAGCATTTGTTTTCTATACTCCCAATAGCCAAAGCTGCAGAGTGTACAGGAACTAGGGAGCTGTCCATGGTACTGCACCTACTTGGGGTCAAGTTTAGCACTGTGGACTCAAATGGCAGTTGCAAAGCTCAGAAGCCCTGTTTATAAAGGTAACACCAGCCACCTGGTTCATTAACCCTTCATCTCCCCCCCCCCCCCAAAGGCCCAGTGGGTGCCACAGCCTCACAGCTCAAGAAAGGGAACTTAAAGTAAGCCCCAGCACTTCAAATGGTCTGGGATTTAACATTTCGGCTTTTGGCAAAGACAGAGCGATTCAGGGTCCTCAGCCCAGATTTCTGACGGAAAATTCTACATTGTAGGAAAGCTGGCAGGCTGCGAGACCTGCAAACGCCGGCCCGAGTCAAGGAAGCCGTCTTTTGGAGGTTGGGGTAGCGGGATGCATAAATGCTGCAGCAATAAGAAATACAATAGCTGCTCTGTAACAGCGAGTCAAGCTTCTACTTCTTTCAGCTTATTAGAAGGATATTTTTAAAAACTCAGAATGCTGAAGCAAATTAAACCAAACCGTAATTAGAAGGAAAAGGTGGGGAGTGTCTTAAAAGGAGAGGAACTAGCAATCCCACCCGAAGAAAAAAGACATCCCAGCTCCCTAAATAACCATCATGTATGATTAAAAAAAAGGGTAAAAATTCAGCAGGACAACTTGACACCTGTCCTACTCAGAAGTAAGTGCTAGTGAGTTCAGTGGATCTTAGTCCCAGGTGTGTATGAATGACAGACTTCTGCAAGTGCCCTCTGGATGTGTTGGAGCAGCCGGCTGAGGATGATGGAGGTTGTAGTCCTGCACATCTGGAGGGCACTTGTAGGGCTGCAGTGCCATCTAAGCTTCTGTTGCCCGCAAGACAGGAAGAAAAGTCTACGGAGAGCAACACGGAAAAGAAAAAAAAATGAAGCTTCTCTTGTTTGCTTAAATTTTGGATGAGGCTTCTGGTCCAGCCAGGAGCTTTAAGTTGATCTTTCATTTACAATATTCCTTCCTGAAATCTGAAAGCAAAAAGAGAAGGGTATGCAAAGTTAGTGAGCTGGAATTCCATGCCAGGATTCCCGTAAAACACATCACGGTCTTTTTTATTTCAACAAATCAAGTGAACCGCATCCCTTCTCCAACATCTTAAAAGCACCTGAAGCTACCCACGGACTACAAGAAGCTGAAATGTTCTGCCCAACCTGTTGTCTGCCAGCTGGGACAGACTATAACTCCCATCATCCTTAGCACACGGGGACTGTAGTCCAAGATGTCCCACAGGGAAGCCGGATGAGGAAGGCTGAGCTGCGTCTAACATTCAATAAAGGTCAAGAAAAACGAAATGGAACCAATGGACAATGAGAGGCCAAAACTCCATGAAAACAAAACGTAGCATTTCAAAGACAACTCAGTCAGCCTTCCGGAAAGGGCAAAGATTACAGTTCAGTCCCGGAAAGCTTGTTTTGCCTGCAGAAGGATCGTGGTCGAAGTTGAAAAAGTGGAGCAGCTGAGCAAGGACAATCCTGCCTGAAACATCCTCACTTGCAAAAACGGTCCGGAGCGCAAGGAATCAACAGCCTGTGCCGCTGGAAAAGGGAAGAGACCTGCTTCCATCTCTGGGTGCCCTTGGCAGGGTGGGCACGCTAAGCCCAGTCAGGGATGGGGTGCAGGGCGAAATGCAGTAAAAGCTGCACTGCTCTGACCTTTCATCTTGCCAGTGGTGGGCAGACCACTGTGAAGAGAACTGGCAGCGATTATGGGTTGCCATGACCCATTGTTTTGGAAAGGCCGGCAAACTGGATGGATGACTGGATGGAGGACTATTTCTCTGGCATCCCCTCCTTCTCTGTGCCCGGCTATTTTAACACTGCACCCCTCTGTCAGTTAACCCATTCTGTGCCTTGTGGAGCCAAGAGCCGGTTCTTGCTACAGGACCTCAGCTATGAATTCCACAGTTCATTATCCTCGTCTCTAAAAAGGAAAGGAGTACAAGCGGGTTGCATGGAAAGTTTCCAGTTTGTACGCAGTGTGACTTCTGCAAAGCACCCCAGGGATTGTAGCTGGCTGTGCTGAGAATGCTCGGCGATTCCAAAAGCCTCTCCCAAAGAACTACAGTTCCCATGTCTCCCTGTGGCATAGGAATGACAGCCAGTTTTAAGACCCTAATGCAGCTCCACCTGGAACTGAATACTACGTCAACCTGCCCTTTGCCATCAAACAGCAGGGTGTTTGGGGGGGGGGGGAGAGAGAGCCCTCATCTACAACACTCTCTTACCTTTATCTAAATCAATATTTTTGGCAGGGAGAATCCGACTCTGTTCCGCTTGCTCCTTCAAGATATTGTTCTTATAATCTGCATTAAGAAAGGAGCTGGGCTGAGAAGCAGTTTTGATTGGAACTAGCAGAAGGAAGGAAGGAAGGAAGGAAGGAAGGAAGGAAGGAAGGAAAAGGAAAAGGAAAAGGAAAAGGAAAAGGAAAAGGAAGAAAGGAAGAAAGAGACAGACAGCCAGCCAGCCAGCCAGCCAGCCCTAAAGCAGAGGTGCTGTTTGGGGGGATATGCCAGGGCTGGAATCCAGAAGCTCTCGGATGGAGCCCCAAATCTCAAGGAGGCCATGTTCCCCCACTGCTGTCCAGGGACACCTCTTGGAATCAGGATCAGAAGCCCTGATGGTGTGATTTTGCTAGCTGCAGGGAAAGCTGAAGTCTCTCTGTTGGTGGGTTGATCTAGCTCCATGGTCAGGAAAGCAGGACTTGGAGGGAAAAAAATGGCTCTAGGAAGGTTTTTTCCGCCTCTGGGTCTTCACCTGGCAAAGGTGTCACTCCCTAACCAAACACTGAAGTCTGCCCAGCAAGGGAACCTGCCTTAGGTAAGGTGTGGTTCAGCAGTGGCTTTATTATTTTTGCCTTCAAGGCCCAACCAGGCACAGCTGTGTTTGGGATCCAGATACGCACAGCATGGCCTACCCACCCCAAAACCATCTTTCGGTATTCAGCCTGCCTTAAACGTGGTCTAATATTGGGGGGGAAATTACCCAGTCTTATTTCTTCGCTTTTGTAGTTGGACAGATCCGCCGCATCGGATGGAAATTCCCTGAGATTCACGCCCTTCCTGGTAAAGCAATAGAGGAACAGCAGAAAATTTAAAAAATTAAGAGAGGTCAAATGCCATGCCAACTCCAGATTCTATTGCTGAAGTCATGCAAAGTCTTTTGTTCCAGGTTCTTCTAGCTTAAACAAGCACCAATGGCTTTTTATAACTGATAGCTAATAGAACAGATCTGGGGTTTTAATGTCTGTTTCTAACGTTTTATTTTTCTAGCTGTGAAAAGTGTTGAGATGGCAAACAGTGTGTACCTTTTGTATGCAAAATAAAGCATAGCTGAATGTACCCCACTGTCCACAAGCCTGCCTTTCTCCCCTCCCACCCTCATTTAATGCTTGTATCTGTAAATAAACGGATATTACAAACAGGTCCCATGCCTCCAAAATTCCCCAGGAAAATGGGCTTCTAAAATTCCCCAGGAAAATGGGCCTCTGCCCTTGAGTTTAGTGCTACTTTGGAAGCAACAGTGTCTCCTTTCCACCTGCCCATTTTTAGAGATTAGCTCACAGCGTTTCCAAGATGGTCCTGATTGGAATCAAAGGCTGTCGTCCATGCCCGGGTGGGTAAAATTAAGCAGGCCCCTGGCAAAGGGGGTGCAGAATACAGAATAAAGTGGACGCTCTGACTGCCGTTTCTACTTACTCTTCGCATTTCTTCACATTGTAGTCAAAGCCTGCAAAGGAGAGAGAAGCAGTGTGGTGAATTTACATAAAAGTCTTTTTGCCTGGCTGTTTTCTCTCCCTTCATTCTGGAGGTTAGCACCCCGAGCTGAGCCTCCAAGGACGATCTCAGCAAAACCACCTGCAACAAAGACAGGACAGCCCAAATGTGCTACTGCTTTCCTCCTCCCTCCCAATCCTCTTTCCTCTTGTGTCGTGTCTTAAATGGTAAGCCTACGGACAGGACCACCAGCATAGAAGTGGTATAAATAAGGAGGGCAGCATGTCCCTGTGTTGGGGGGAAGACTCAACATCCCAGTAGACTGGAATCCACCAAGCTTAGCAGTAGAAAAACAAGGGCTATAATGACTTCTGAGCTTGGCAGATTTGCCAGAGAGAGAACTGGAGCTGGCCCACTCAGCCCACCCCCATATTATTTCCACCTGCTGAACTCATGCGGGGGCACCATCATCTCTGCTGCCCCAAAACCTAACCGGCTGACTTCTGGCCTCCAGGTGTTTTATCTCTTGCCGCCCCCTCCAATCTTTCTGGCTGAGCTTCCCGCTGCCCCCAGAATCAGGTGCCCCCTCCTCCCCTGTCCGTACATCCCTTTGTGCAAAAGGGCGTCCTTAGGGGAGACCGAGCGTGAAGCACCTGCGAATTAGCCCGTGCAATTCGGCGCTCTGTCTCCTGCCGGGAGGAGCAGATCCGTGGGGCACCTCGCCCCCTCCCCTCTCCCGCACTTCCAGCACCGTTCCCATGGGGTGTCCCCCGCCGCCGCCGCCGCCGTGGGGCGAGGACGTCCCCTGCAGAAGCAGAGGCAGGAGGGCGGGCAGAGCCGCCGCGGCGCTCACCTCTCCCCCGGCGCTTGCGGGTCACGAGGACCACCAGAATCAGCAGCAGGATGAAGAGCAGCAGGGTGGCCAGGACGTAGCCCAGCTGGTGGAAGAAGTGAGCCCGGCTCTCGGGGATGACGACGTTGACGACGTTGTGGCTGTGGCCGCTGCTCGGACCTAGGCCCCGGCCGGAGAGAACAGCGGGGAGAGGTCAGGGCTTATCCCGGGGAACCGGAAACAAGGACTGGCGTCTTGGGACCGAGTTCTAAGATTTATTTTCATTTATTTGTTTATTTCCCACTGTATAGCCTGCCTGTTTCCTAGAAAGGGCTCAAGGCAGCTGACATCGTTCTCCTCCTCCATCTTATCCCCACAACGACGACCCTGTGAGGTCGGCTGGGCCGAGAGTCTGTGCCTGGCCCAAAGCCCCCCAGCGGGCTCCATGGCCGAGCGGGGACTCGAACCCGGATCCCCTGAGTCCCAATCCCATGCTGTTAACCATGACACCACACTGGCTCTCCGGGATGCACACCCTCCGGACTCCACAGGACTCGCCCCTGAGGAGCCACGCACCAAACTGTTGGGACACGTTACCGGGACTGCCGCTGCATTTGTGACCCATCTTTATTCCTCTTGGCGGCATATGGGGCTCTCCTTGTTCATCCACACAACGGCCCTGTGAGGTAGGGCAGGCGGAGACGCTGTGGCTGGCCCAAAGTCACCCAGGGAGCTCCATGGCTGCACGGGGACTCGAACCCAGGTCTCCTCCCTCAGCGGAGGAAGAAAACGTGCCGTTCTAGGAGGACTTCAAAAACGCATCCAAGGCAAAGTTTGCTTTGCTGGTCCTTCCCCGCCATCACCACGTCTGGGCCAGGTCAAGCGAACGGTAAACAAGCAAGTTGCAGTGACATGGGAGCAACTCCAGGGGCGCCTGCCAGTGGACTGTGATATGGGCCCTCCTGTGATGCCCGCCCTTGCTGGACTACAACTCCTATCCTCCCCAGCCAATGGGCACGCTGGCCGGGATTCATCGGAGCTGCAGCCAGCACTGCACCAGTCTGGGGAAGGCTGTCTTTAATGATTACTCCAATAAAGGTACACTGCTCCTGAGCCTGGAGGCACCACTCCTTCGTCATCGAGGGACGGGCGACAGCAGCCGCCTGGTGCCAACTCTGCTACCCTTAATCTGTGCCACTTCCTGTCCTTGTTTAAATCGCATTTTAAAGCCGGCTTTTCAGTTTTGCAGTGTATTTTTATGCTGCTTTACACTATTTGCATTTTTGATATTTCCATAGTTTATGTGCACTTGTGAGCCACCTGGAGCGCTTCGGCTATCGGGCAATAAAGGAATAAAATGGACCGTAAAACGATCAGCAGCACAAAAGAGGCGCTGCAGGCACCAAACCCAGCCAGCCAGCCCAGGACCCATTCCTTTGCAGGGTGGGGCCGGCCGTATATTGAGCCGAGGAGAGAAAATTGAGAGCGAGACGCCAGTGTGGAATGCATCTCTCCGTACGTCTTGGCCGAGCGAGTCGTGTTTAAAGGAGAGACCTGGAACGATATGTGTCCGCAACAGTCAAGGGCTCGGACAAATCCAAAGGAGGGAGCCAGGAGTGGCGGTCTTGGTTCCTTTCCCCCTTTTCCTTGCGGGGGAAACGGCTGGCACTGCAGAGAAGGTCCGAGCCATGGGGGAAAGACTTGTGCTTCAGCTATTAAGCCTTTGGGAAGTGCAATTTTCCCACAATGGGATAGCAGCAGACCCATGGGTGAACCAGTGAGAGCCGGTGTGGTGAAGAGCATGGGACTGGGACTCAGAGGATCTGGGTTCGAGTCCCTGCTCGGCCATGGAGCCACCTGGGGGACTTTGGGGCAGTCACAGACTCTCGGCCCAACCTACCTCACAGGGTTGTTGTTGTGGGGATAAGATGGAGGAGGAGAATGATGTCAGCTGCCTTGAGCCCTTTGGGGGAAAAGGCAGGATATGAATCGAATGAATGAATGAATGAATGAACCAAACCCTGCTGCAGAACATGGGTTCACAAGCGGAGCTGTCAAAGGAGGGGGAAGCCACCGTAAGAGCGGCAGTCTGGACTCTGCCCATGCCGTCCTTGTATGCCCATTTGCATGCCTTGAAACTGATATATCTCACTCTGAGAGAACCTGCAGGCTATGGGGCAGCATAGACATGAAGTAAAATAAATAAGGAATACTGCCACTGCAATAGTTTCGCATGAGCTGCTTTTTGGAACTGCCTATCTTTTTCTAGGCCTGCCCAGTTTAAATCAGGTTGCGCTTTTCTTTAGATCTAGGTGCCAGTTCGGATGGACCGAAGCACGGACGGGCGAGAGAGTCAAGCCAGAGGAAAGCAAGCCCTCCTTCACACATGGCCTGGCTAGCATATGGAACTCACTGCCACAAGAAACAGTGACCAGCAGAGCTTTCGAAGAGGGCCGGGCAGATTCCTGGAGGATGGGTCCAAGACCAGTCGCGGCGGCCACAGAACGCCAAACTCGGCAGGGGCGGCCAAGGCCACCGTTGGCCACCCTGGGAAACAAAATGGAGGAGAGAGACGTCCGCCGAAGGCTCTTCCTGAGCTCTTCTTAAGGTCTAGATCAGGGGCATACAATCCACGCACAACACGGGGCCACACCAAGGCCCGATTCTGCCCTCCCCTCCTTCCCCCAGCGCTCAGCTCCCCCCTGCAGCTCTCCTGATGCAACATGAGAGCCAGTGTGGCGTCGTGGTGAAGAGCACGGGACTGGGACTCGGGGGATCCGGGTTCGAGTCCCCGCTCGGCCATGGAGCCAACTGGGTGACTTTGGGCCAGGCACGGGCTCTCAGCCCAGCCTACCTCACAGGGTTGTTGTTGTGGGGATAAGATGGAGGAGGAGGAGGATGTAAGCTACCTTGAGCCCTTTGTAGGAAAAAGGCAGGCTATAAATCGAAAGATAAATAAATAAAATAAAATAAATGTTTGCATGGAGTGAAAATTTGTGCCCAAAGCCCATTCCGTGTATTTTTCAAGCCTGGCAAGGCCTCCCGCAAACTCAGAGATCAGCTCTCCATGGATGTGTGTGATACTGCGATGACTCCCACCTTCTGTTCCCTGTCAATTGCACTTTCCTGCTCCTCCCGAGGAGACACCGAAACACAAACGATCCCCGTAAGTGGGAACAGATGGCTTCATGCCACCAACGTTGTTCCGAAAGCTACAGAGTTAACTTCAAATCTGACAGCAGGCTGAGCAAAAACAGAATGAGGCCATGTTGATACTGTAAGCAGAATAAAATTTCCTGTCTAGAAAACTCTGCCAATGTTGGAACGGTTCCCAGGATGAAGAGGATCCAACGAGAAGCTTCCCAGCTTTGCTTCTTTTTTATCTTCGCTTCTTTTCCCCCTCTGAACCTGCAAGAGCTGACATGGATCCTGGGGCTTGGAGGCACCCCTTCTGCCTCTCTTGCTCCAGAGTAAACATGGTCCCGCTTCCCGCTACGTGGCTTATAAGGGCCCAGAGCTGGAGAACAAGCCAAGGAGAATTTCCAGACACTTTTCAGAAGTGAAAAGATAAAACTCAGAAAACTCAGGCGAATAATATTCTTGACGATTCAGCAAGTTCTCTTTGTGCTTCTTTCTGAACTCCACCCGGGAATATGAACTCTCTCTCTCTCTCACACACACACACACACACACATACACACACACACCTCTGCTTGTTTGAGCTGCTTAGAAAAACATTTCCTTGGAGACCTGGGCCAATTTCCTGGTTGTAGCCAAAATGAATCCCAAGCAGGGGTGCAGCTGGGGGGTCTTCCTTCCTCATTAAGTTTCTCCATTTTTAGATTGGCCCGTCCAACTGAGCATTGTGAAATCTGGCTCATTTCCATATGCCCTGCTTTTCCCACAAGACCAAACCTGGTACCCTGCAGTTGTGTCAAACCGCCACCCTCCTGGTTTGCTTGACACATCTGCGTAAGACTGCCATAAAGAATTTGAGATTTCTCCTGCCTTCTCCCGCTGTACCCAGCCTTTTCCACTCCAGAAGGCTTACCGCTAAAACTAGCAATGCCGGCCCGTTAAAAAATTTATCACACACCTTCGGGTTTGCCGTTAAGCAGCCAATAAATATTAAAAGTGTGATAAATATTTTAAAATGTTAATTAATGTAGACCTAGAGCTGTAGGAGGGTTGTGTGTAGGTTTTTTCACCATTAAAACTGCCCATTTTATTTTTACTTTTGATGATGCATTTCGCCAAGAAGAAGCAGAAAAGAATTAAAGTGATAAAACAGATTGGAAAGTAATTTGTTATTACAGAGACAGAAACAAGAAATGGAGTGGCAGGGACGTAGGCTTCCCAAATTCAGGAAACCAAGCAACACACGGACCTGTTTCTTATGGAATCTTTGCTCAGTTGAGGTATTCAAGAGGGCTAAAATGCACTAAGACCATGCAATGCCTCTCATTCAAGGGCTGAGGGTGGGCAGGCACTGAAATGGGCTTTCTGGATCCAGCCACATCAGGAAGCCATGGTGAAAACAAAATGGTTTACACCTCAGCAACAAAGCGTGGCTTCTCTCCATGGCTTCCTAGCCCAGCTGGGTTTGGACAGTGTGACAACCCATCTTCAACGACAACCCATGCCTCCACAGCCCCTGAGCACAGGATACTGTTCGTCTGAACCCAATCAGTGCATAGTGCACGGATGTCGGATTCCAGCCAAGGATCCAAATTGGGTCCACCTTAGATTTAAGGCCATGTAATCTGGCCCTTGAATTGGGGAGCTGGCAGAGACTCCTGCGAGTCCCTTGGACCGCAAGGTGATCCAACCGGTCAGTCTTAGAGGAGATCAACCCCGGCTGCTCTTTAGAAGGCCAGATCCTGAAGATGAAGCTCAAATAGTTTGGCCACCTAATGAGAAGGAAGGACTCCCTGGAGAAGAGCCTAATGCTGGGAACAATAGATGGCAAAAGAGGAAGGGGACGGCAGAGGATGAGGTGGCTGGATGGAGTCACTGGGGCAGTGGGTGTGAGCTTAGGTGGACTCCGGGGATGGTGGAGGACAGGAGAGCCTGGAGGAAGGTTGCCCATCGGGTTGTGATGGGTCGGACACAACTTCACGACTAACAACAACAATCTGGCCCTATGAGGCTGCCAAGATGGCCACATATCACCTTCCCAAGGCACTCCGAATTTCCCCCCAGTATTTTTGTGGTGTCTTGGCGCTCGCATGATTTCCTCTCTGCGCTCGGGACAATCCATAGGTGGCAGTCAAAACGACCGGCACAAGACTCCTCGAGAAGGAACTTCATGAGACGTTCCACCTGATCTATCTTCACCAATAGGTGGCAGTCAAAACGACTGGCACAAGACTCCTCGAGAAGGAACTTCATGAGACGTTCAACCTGATCTACCTTCACCAATTGCTCCTCCAAGCATCTCCTGCTCTCAGGTTGGACCCAATTCCCAGTTTGCTTTGGCACAGAGTCCTTTTGTCCCCGTTTCGGCTGAGAGACCTACCTGCAGGAGGCACGTAGTGGTGGGTGAGGTTCACCACAACCTTCTTCTCTGGCTCGGGCTCCAGAACGGAGACGTGGAAGATCCTGCGCTCGTGGAGGCCGCAGTAGTGATGGTGGAGGTGGCAGGAATAGATGCCCTCGTCAGCGACCTCCAGAGCAGATATCCTCAGGGAGAAGTCGCCCAAGGCAAAGGCTTTGTCGGTGATATTCATCTTTTTCCGGATGAAGAGAGGGCCGTAGGAACGCCCTTCCCCCGAAGCGTACAGGTCAATGAGCCGATCCGCCCGGTCGTGAGGCACGCCTGGGGGCTGCCGGTCCCAGTGGACCACCTGCTGCTGCTCTTCGTCGTGTCTCTCGGTCCAGACCTGGTTCCGGTTGATGCAGGAAAGCACCACCGTGCTGCCTTTCAGCGCCACGATCACGACTTTCTCTCCATCCCAGTACCGCTCCACTTCTTTGGCTGGGGAAGGCACACGAACACGCAAGATTCGCGTCAGCTTCAGCTCCGTGCCAGAGGACGCGTGTTGCAAGCCCTTGAGAAGTTCTGGAGAAGTTCAGAGCGACCGCTGCCTCATCAGCATCCCTCCAGGAATCTTTCCTTCCGAGGGCGACCTTCAGGGGCCACGGTCCAGCAGTGGGCGGGGCCAAAGGCCAAAGGGGCAGGGCCAATATATTATATTATATTATTTATTTATTTGGGGGTTTTATCCCGTCCAATTATGACACGTCTCTGGATGGCTTACAAGCAGAGCACCCCATAAATACATATAATAACCCTAAATAATCCACGACTGAGAATAAAACATAAATTAAAATAGTTAAACTTTAGCATTACGGGAAAGTAAGGAGGTCTTGAACTGGAGCCAAAAAGGATGTAACGTCGGCACCAGGCGGACCTCTCTGGGGAGTGCATTCCATAGCTGGGGAATATCACCTTTCTCTTCAGCCCTTTACAATAAATATTCTCAAGCTGACCAGCAACAACCTACACTCAACCCATGCTCCACCGCTGCACATGGGTTCTTGTGTTTTCTGAACTCAATCACTGCCAAAGGCACTAATCCCTTGAGTTTTAGCATGTTGAGAAGGGAGGGAAACCTCCATCCATCTGCTTCGAGCCCAAATATTACAAACCCGTCTCCCATGGAGATGCTGGATTTCATTTCTCATTTGGCCAGGGCGACTTATTTTATATTGTTAACTTGTTTTATATTGTTAATTTATAGTATTTTAATTGATTTATTTGTGAGCCGCCCCGAGGCTTCGGCAAATGGGGCGGCATAGAAATTTTCTAAATAAATAAATCAGTAAATAAATAATCTTTAGTCAGGCAATGCTAATGGAGGCGGCAGTCCAAAGACTACAGAAGTTGCCGAAGCACAACTCCCAGAATTTCTGAGCCTTATCCTGCCGGCTGAGGCTGCTGGGAGTCGGAGTTCTACAGCACCCCTGCTTTATCTGAATTGCACAACCCTGATCCTTTGCAGCTGGTCTTTACAACTCCACAGAGAAACAGTGATTTTTTTTCCAGCCGTTCTCTCTGCAGCCTCGTGACAGGAAATGCCCCGTAGCCCACAAACATCTTAATTACGGCTCCCGGCCTTTTCTCTGCTGCATGCCACACAAGGGAAAGGCGAGACCTCACAGCCGCCTTGGACAAGATGGAGCGAGTCGACACAGGAGAAACGCTGGAGGTCAGGGGAAAACCTGAAGGAGCAAGCAGAGCCTGCAAAAGGCCCCCGGGTTTTCGCAATCTGCCGCTCAAGGCCTGCCACAGAGGCTTCCGCGGTGTTTACCTTTTTTCGTGACGTCGAGCTGTATTTGCTCCCGTTCGTACAGGTGACAATAATGGTGATGGAGGTTGCAGGAATACACGCCTTGGTCGCTCTCGGCAACGTCTAGCTCGTAACGCGAGCGAGCGAGCGAGCGAGCGAGAGAGAGAGAGAGAGAGAGAGAAAGGGATCTGTTATCCAGGCCACAGGGCTGGCTGTCATCCACTTGCGGGGCGGCAAGGGGCCCTGGAGGTCACCTACTCCTCTGGCTCAACACGTCGTGGACAATGGAGGGGGGCATTTTCAGCACCGCCGCTCTGTCTCCCGCCCTGCTCGGACGCTTCCAGCAAAGGAGAGGCAGCCGCCCTGTGCGGATTTTGTTTACCCAGTTGGTTCATCTCCATCTTGTGGCTTGTCCAGCCCCTTTGGGGTTCAAGATGGAATGACCCTCTACCAGATGGAGGGAGGACCACCAGTCTGGATGGCCTTAAGAGGGACGAGACAAATTCATGAGGAGAAGGGCTATTGACAACAGCCAGGTGCGGTGGCTATAAGCTCCCTCCAGGAGCAGCAGGGAGCCTCTATACCCCAGCTGCTGGGGAACATGGGTAGGAGGGTGCTGTTGCCCTCCTACCTGCTTGTGGGCATCTCATGGACAGCTGGTTGGCCCCTGTGTGAAGAGAAAGCTGGACTGGAGGAACCATAGGCCTGATCCAACATAGCCCAGGGTGGAGGGGGGGTATGGACGCCTTTTGCTCCCTCTCTCATAATGGAAGGACCCCAAGGGTCCTCCCATGAAGCCGATTGGTAGGAGATTCAGGACAGGCAAGAAGAAGGCCTTCATCAGACTTTGTGCCCACAAGACGTAGCGATGGCGAGCCACCAACCTGGGTGGCTTTAAACACGGCTAGACAAATTCAGGGAGGAGAAGCAACGATGGGCTATTAGTCCTGATGGCCCTGGGCTACGTCCAGTTCCAGAGCCAGTGTGCCAATGTGCCTCAGCTGCTGGGGAACATGGGCTGGAGGTGCTGAGGCCTTCAGCTCGGGAGGTTCTTGTGTGCAGCCGATTGGCCACTGTGTGAGCAGAACCCTGGACTGGATGGACCTCCTGTGAATCCATCTCACGGCCGGAAGAAGGAATGTGCGGAAGGGGAGGCGGGGAGGTGATGGGGTTTTCTCCTACCCTTGATCACCAGAGAGAAGTTGCCGTCTATGAAGGCGTTCTCAGGCATGGAGATGCGCCCTTCGTTGTAGGAGCTGTAAATGCGCTGCTCCCCGGCCGAGTACATGTCGCACAGCCGCTCGGTGACCTGCCCGCTCCTGTCCAGGTCCCAGTGGACCACGCGCTGGCGGTCGTTCAGGCGGTCCTGCGTCCACACCATCCGGTAGCTCTTGCAGGAGAGGACGGTTCGGGAGCCCGCCCGGGCGGTGATGTTCAGCACAGACACCACCATGGTCTCCGGATTGGAAGCATCTGCTGGTGCCGAAACTGGAAGGAGAGCGCGAGCGACGGCCATGTTGGGAGATGCACCCTGGACCGAAATCCCGTAGCACCGGGATGGGGAACCTCTGGCCCAGGGCAGCCCCCGAGACTTTTCCATCCGGCCTAAGAGCTTCTACTGCTCTTATCTCCAGTCAGTGGCTGGAGCTAAGAGCATGTTCAAAGACAGTTCAGGAAGATTCTCCCTTGCCTTTGTTATATAGGACTTATCTATGTAATGCTCATGCAATTTATTCAGCTGTTCTGAATAATTTTTGAAATGTTTCTGGGAGCTTTGTCGGGTCTGTGACCACACAATAAAGATTGATCAGGAAGACTGAACTCTCACAATTTCTGTTTAAATAAGAATAAGAATGTCTGAGTTTGCTTCTAGACCTGTGAACTGGTGCAAGTCATCTTTGCAGAATTCCTTTGGGGGATGCCATTTTGGGTTATTGATCAAGCCACATGCGATGCTGGGAGGCGTTAATATCATCATCAATGGAGATTTATAACAACAGTGGTCTAACGTTGAGGCCAGGGGGAGATCTCAGGCTTTTAGGATCAAGTCTGGGTTTTCACTAGCTCCCCCAACCAGAGCCTGGTGCCATTGGATAAATGGAACATGAAATGATTCCAAGCTCACTATTTAATTTGAATTATGTGATCTGAGTGGAGCTGAAGCTCTTCCACTCAAGAATCTACTGCAGCTTGTTCCAAGCGTTCTTCTCAAGAGCCATTTTTGTGCTGCAATAGTGCAATCATGGAGAGTCAGAAATCCTGGACAGGTTTCTGCAAATCAGGCCGTCTCCCAGCAGATCTAGATTAAGCTTCTGATCACAAAATCCTTGTCTACACTATAGGATGACATGCAACATGCTTTGGATACTTGGACTGTCTTGTGTTTCGATTCATAATTACCTGAATAAGGATGAACAACAGACTCTGAAACAGGAAAGAAAGAAAGACGACATATTAGGGAAAATATTAATCACTTCCAGGGAGACAGACATGTTAATTTCGTGAGCCGTTGAAACAGAACGTGTGTTCATTCCCCCCAGACTAAACCTGCTCTGCAAGTGACCATTCCAGCCCCATAGCCGGGAGACCCCCCAGTGGGCACACCACCCCATAACCATAATCACAGGCCCACTGCAGCCTCTGCGAGGTCAGACCCATATGAGAATGTGCCAACCTCTTTTAAGGAACTGAGTGCCCAAACAGTGATGGCAAGTCACACTGAACAGCAGAGATTGCTCGTGTGTGAGCCTTGAAAGGAAAGGGAAGGGAAGGGAAGGGAAGGGAGGAAGGAAAGACAGACAGACAGACAGACAGACAGACAGACAGACAGACAGTTTCAGCCACAAGTCACACTGAACAGTAGAGGTTGCTCATGTGTAAGCCTTGAAAGAAAGAAAGAAAGAAAGAAAGAAAGAAAGAAAGAAAGAAAGAAAGACAGACAGACAGACAGACAGACAGACAGACAGTTTCAGCCGCAGTCCCACAATCCCGTTGTGCTACTTGGTTGATCTAAGCACCTCTGAACACAAATAAGAGTGCCCCTTCTCTAGATTGCAGGTCAAAAGACTCAGTCACGTCTGGAAATCCCAGAAGCAGAGGTGTGGAACCTTAAGCTCGCGGGCCACATCCACCCAGGTAACTCTCCAAGACTCCGCATGGAGCTGTGCCCGGTTCCTTCACCCCCAGTTGTTTGGTGCCTTCCTGGCTCTTGGGAACCTTCTCCCCATTTGAAGACCTTAAATGCCTCTCCTATGGTTTAATTCCCAGCTTCAACCTAAATAACACTGGTGTTTGGGGGCACATCTAACCTGCCCATTTAGTCTTTGGACCTATCTGCCCACGACACGCACCCTCCTCAAACATCTCCAAAACTGAATTTGATCTCTGAACCAAGGGAGGTACCAGCTCTGGACCATAATATCCAGCCCATTCTCCAAGTGCTGAACTCTCCATGGCCAAAGAGACAGCAGCAGGCTGAGTGACGGAGGACGGAATGGCGTCTCCTAGGAGGACCTGGCTGGCTGGAGCCCTGAATGGGGAACTCCACACCCTGCTGCAGGCCTCCGGCTGGGAAGCACCATTCCCACGTTTTGCATGATTTCTCTTGCTGCTCCCATGGTGGACGTTTTGAAAGAGACAAAGCCGTAACAGGCCTCTCTCTTCTTCTCTATCATTTGCGGTCTACGATCTCAGAAGACAGAGCTAGCAAATAGGTTTGTTCTTTGTGCAAGCCAAAATTGCAGGCATGGCTTTGCCGGAAGGGTGCCAACAGCTGGAATGCAGCTGGAAACGCCTTAAGGTTGGAGGATGCTCAAGAAACGACCCCCTTCTGTCAAAGCTGACATGCTGTTTCTCAAATACAATGATAAATATAGATCAGAATATAAACAAGTGAGAGAAACCTTACACACCCTTTGGGTAGTTAACTGCCTGCCACCCTCTACGGAGCTTCCCTCCTTCCTTGGACACTGAGCCCCACGCCTTTGATATCTGCCTCCCCATCTTAGCATCTTAGCATCCCTTACGGGCCCACCAAAGGCCTTCCCATCAAACACCAGCCACCGAGGTCTTGGAAGCCTGCCATCTCCATTTATTTATCTATTTAAAACATTTCTATGCCGCCCCCATCGCAACAAAGCCTCGGGGCAGCTCACAACAAAAACAAAACAAACCATCTCTGAGTCCAAATTCAATCCCAGGTCCTCCTGAAGTGCCTCTGCAGAGGTGCAGGGTGTAATCGTCACCTTTGCTCCCCATCTTCGGAACTCCCTGCCAAATTCACCTGGCACCGTCTTTATTTTCCTTTCGGCACCATGAGATGACATACCCTTCTAGGAATTCTTTTAACACTCGGCCTGAATGCTGTGGCCCTTTTTATACTGCTTTTATAGATGTTTTCCTCCATTGTGTTTTAACTGGTTTTAATGTGTTAACTGGTTTTAAAATAATGTGTTTTAGTTTATTACTATGTTTTATATAACGTAAGCCACCTAGGAAGGCCTCATCAGTTATAGGCGGACTGTAAATACATATAAATATAAATAAAATCATTATGGGTCATCAGGGGCTGCCTATTTGTAAAACAGCTGCTGGGGTGAATACGGCACTCATTGCCCAGAAGGCCAAGGGGCAAGACCCAAAGAGAGATCCCTGGTCCAAGAAGCAAAGTATAACATCTGATTTAAATCATCAGTTCAAGATGGTATCATCCCAGAGAGCCCCAGAAGGAAGCTGCTGACCTTCCAGATGTAAGATCAGCCTCCAGTGCAGATAATCGAGGAATCTCAATGAAATACCAATTTTTAAAAGGGGTGGAGTTGTCCAGGAAATTACAGGCTGCTTAGCAACTGTTCCAAGTAAACTGGTTGAAAGCATTCTTAAAGATACCATTAGTTAGTGCATCAAAGGACAAGCTTTGCTGAAAAATCATCAGCTTGGCTTCAGCAAGGATAAGTCCTGTTTCAATAATCTTTTAGAGTCATTTGAGAGTGTCAATAAAAACATGGATGGGGTGAACTGGTACCCAATAATTACTTGGACTTCCAAAAATCTTTTGATTAAGTCCTTCACCAAAGACTCATGCGCAAACTTAGCTGTCTTGAAATGAAAACCAGGGATTGGGGATTTTTAACTGGCTAAAGAACTGAAAACAAACTGGGAATAAGTAGAAAATTATCTCCAAGGAGGAAGGGAGGGATCTGTATCAGGACGTTTTTCAACATCCTGATCTGGAATTAGGAGTGAGAACTCAAGTATCCAAGTTTGCCGATGCCACCAAATTATTTAAGAGGGTTAAAATCAACAGGGGTTATGAAGCGTTCCAAAATGGTATCTCCAAACTGAGAAAAAGAGCATCAAAAAGACAAGTGCAGCTCAATTTAAGCAAATGCGAAATGCTGCAAGCTGGGGCAAAAAGGTGGATGCTTTGCCAGATTTGGACCACGTGTGTTTTACACGTGCTTTTTTTCCAAGGTTAGTTTTTTCTCCGCCTTCTTGTCTGCTTGAATACTCAGCCACAAGGGTCGCTGGAGCGCAATCGGAGAGATACCTGTGTGTGTTTTGTGTGATAGCAAGCAAAAGGCTTGCCGGAAGGCCTGGAGAGCCCTGGCCTGGATCAGCTTCGACAACATTGAAGAAATCGCCCTTGCACTTTTGAGGGGACCATGTTTTCCTACAGGCACAGCAAAAATCTAAAGCAATCTACCCTGATCTGCTGCCCTCGGAGGTATTCTGGACTACAAGCCCCATCATTCTCAGCACTGGCCATGCTGGCCTGGGCTGATGGAAGCTGAAGTCCAAAACATCTGGACAGCATCCGGTTGGAGAAAGCTGTGCTGAAGCCTTTTGCACACCATGTGTGTGAAAACACACATGTTTTTTCTGCTTTGGGGTTTAATACAAAGAACATGGCTTTGCTTGCAGATTCCATAGATTCAATATCTGACAAATCCATTTATATAAGAAAAAAACCTTGGCCGTCCTTGCAAGGAAAAGAGCAGGAAACTCACCAGATGTACTGTTTCCTTCGAATGGCGTGATGCCTGAGCTATGAATAGCATTTACCCTCTCTCTCTGGGATTTTTTTATCGCGCAAGGTTTACTCACGACCACTGCAAAGACCACCTGGTGCTGGAGGCCGGGGGTGACATTTCTGCAGTGCCATAACATCTCCAGCAGTTTTCAGTGACTCCTGGCTGTGCTAGGTTTACAAGCACACAGTCTGTGTGATGCTCATCCTCTCTGCCCATCCAGCTGCCCTCACTAAGCCTCTGAACAAAGACTATCTTACGGACGGGACAACCAGACACGCTGGTGCTCACCAAACTCCACTTCGCAGCTCGGTTCAGCTTGCACCCCTATTGACTAAGGCGTAAAAATGCATGTGTCTGAAAAATGTGCATTAAAAATTATGCATTTTCCAAACATTTTGGATGCTTTTCCAGAAAACACACCTGTGTTTGTGGTCAAAGTTGCAGGCAGGACAGACTCTGAGGATCTTTGAGCAGAAAGAAGATTTTCACATATCCCTACAAAGTTCCGGCATCTTGGAAACTCACCAAATTGTTCCATCGTCCAAACCAAACTCTTCACCATTTAATATTTTTTAAATAAACGGCCAATATAGTGCATTATCTTTGATGCAAACTGTATGCTTCTACCCGCTTACATCCTAAGAAGGCAGCCCTATAACCATGTCTCTTAAATGCTCAGGAAAAAAAATTATGGGGCTGCAGATGAGCTCCAAGGATGGGAAGAACTACCCCAAGTGCCACAAGCTGCCAGGACAGCAACGTTTCCTTGCCCGCCCATCTTCCCCGAACTTCTCTCCCTTTCCACACAGAGAATCCAGACTGAATCAGGCCTAGCCCTGTTGAATATCCACCTGGTGTATACAAAAACCAAGTTATCTAGCCAACACCGATCAACTGAACCTCCTTCACGCAGTGGAATCTCACTCCAGACCTCGGACATCTCCAAAGTTGCAAACTTCCCCCAGCTAAGACTCGGGAAGGGGGCTGAGTCCTGGGGGCTCTTGGCGAACAGGCTGGGTGCAAATCCAGTGGATTCAACATAGGGCTGCCAGGTGCCCCACATCAGAAGACAGCCCCGTCTTTTGGACTGCCAGCAGGCGGCAGGTCCCCGTTAGGTTGTTTACCAGAGTAAAGAACAGAAGACAACCAATCATCTCACACTCCTCAGCGATTTTCCACCAGGTTTTCCTTCGATAGGTAAAATCACTCTGCTTTGGATCCCTCATTTAAAGCACACCCAGAAGAAAACCGAACACTTCGCAGTAGGAAAGGGAAATGAAGGAACAACTTTCCCACTTGGCACAGAGAGGTCTTGTTGACTTTAAGGGTAGATTCAGTCCCCCATTAACCATCGGATTCCGTAGGATGGCAGCTGGCAGAATTTATGCTTACATTACGGACTCCGAGGTTTTTAAAAAGTCAGAACTCTTAAGAGTCATTAAGCAGGGCAAGGTACAGAGAGAGAGAGACTTGAAATGAAAGAATTCTGTGCCAGGTTTGAATGGGATCCACAAATTTTCCATGCCAAAGTTTACTCTCAATTTGCATCCCAATCTGCCTTCCTTTGTGCAGTGTAATCTGGGGCATGAGGGAATTATTTTGCTGCAGCAATTGTGAAATCGAGAGTCAGACATCTATGCTGATTTGTTTCAAATCACTGGGTAAGCTACTGGTAGGTCCCAGTAGGACTTCTGTCTGATCCTGGCACAAGGAAAACTTGGGGCAATCGCCAAAGGACTTTCTTGGGGGAAAGCAGCAGCAAGATATGCATGACAAAAATATTTTCTCAGGCTAAATTGGTGGAGGATGGAACTGCATATGCAGTCTTTCCAGCTATGCAGAATTCTTCATTCACACAGGGAAAAATTGGGTAAAATTCAAAAATGTGTGTACTTCTGAACTGGAAATCTTTCTCAAGGCTTTATGATTTCTCCCAGATGTGCTCTGACTAGGAAACCCTAAAAGTAAAAGCTTGCACCCATGTTGGGAAAAAGAATATGTATGTTAACAAATTAAAATCTCTCACTGTTTGCCAGAGGAAAAGCCATTTGTTAAATGCCCTTTTTCATTCCTTGATACACCACATGAGACACAAAAGAACTAGGTCCTTCAACTGCACCAATTATAATTACCCTGCATCAGTTAATCAACTAAACTCTTAGGTTGATTAATTTATTAATAAAATTGGTGAATGCTTCTTCTGGAAGCTGTTGAGTTTCCTTGTCTGGCTGCTTGCTGTGCTTTTTCCTGTTTGAACCAATCCCTCATCTTTCCTTTACCATGGCTATGATACCTCCCCTCTAACTTCTGGTATACTTGAGGGATGGTTCCATTTTAGAGATGGGGAAAACTGAGGTTACAGGTAACTTTTCCTATGAGCTCATGGCAGAAAAAGCAGGTCTTAGGGCCGGAGTCTTGCTGATTTGACCACATCATCTCTCTGGATGAAAGACCAACCAACCAATGTGTGTCAAACTGCCAATTTTTTCCACTCGCCCTACTCTTCTGCTTATTTCATCAATGTGACTCACAGATGTCTGATGTATTTAGCCCTTTCTCGCCATGTACTTCCATTCCAGGAAAGGCTGCACCGTTAGAATTTGCCACAAAGTGCAGGAGCAGAGCTAATGAAACCACATGGCAAGTGTGAGCACAAGACAGGTTGCCGGCTACACAATTTTTTCCACCATACAGGTTTCTGCAGCCTGTCAGAAATGCATCCACCACCACTTGCCCAAGCATGGAGACAGTGAAGCTTTACCTGTGGGGTTTCTGCCTGCCACCCTTCCACAGAAAAGAAGAACATGCGCCTTTTGAACTTTTCTAGGCAGAGACATCCCATTAAGTTTTTCGGATCTTCCTAGCCAAAGCTGAACTGGCACCCTCCCAAGCAAAGTAGGAGCTTCCATCAGGAGGTTGTTTTGCAGGAAAATTCTGGAGATACTCCAGGTTTTGCTGGACTTTTCTGGATTTGGGGGTTGTTGGATTTACTCCAAATTGCTGTGTTTAACTGGTGGTGCTTTGGGTTTGTTTCCTTTCACCTTACACGCTTCCTAGGGAAGCCTTCCACTCTTTCAGGGCACCCTAGAAGCCAGCTTTAAAGAAATAAATTTAGCACCCAAGCAGTCCCAAATTTACATTAAGAGATTTCTGCTCGCCAAGCTAACGGCCAGAGTTCAAAATCGCTACATGCGTTATGCATTTCCCCCCACAACCCCCCCTTCCCACCAATGCATTTTTTACCCAAGACGAGAGGAGAAAGAAAAATAAAGAGAGAGGGGAAAGCTAATTCCCTCCATGTAAACTTACCCTGCACAAACAACAGTGAAGCTAAGAGGAACAGATTTACTCGGTCCATGTCTCAGATCCTCTTTCTCGCCTTCTTCCTCCCCAAAAGCAAACTTTCTTCAGACTTTCTTTCTCCGCCTCACTCTGCTAGAAAACACTTATGACCTCATCAGTGTACAGCCCATGAAACATAGGCATGTAACAGTCCTACCCAGAACGACAAGCGTTTCCACGCCTCACCTTCGACCTCTCTTTCTCTCCCCTCTCCCGCCTGCCCTCCAAGACTTCCCTGCTCTATGTCTACATAACATACATACTATTGCAAGTCTCTCCGGCAAAGACCCTTTTGATGTAACAGCATGTTAAAAAAATCCAGTGAGTTTTTGCTGGCTTCACACAGCTCCGAGCTCCAAAAACAACCGTCACCCCACCCAGCTCCCTTCTGGGTATGGTTTTAATTTACTTCGGCATTTACAAAATCCAGCTTTTTGCATTTACGTTCCGCCAGATGTCTTCCTGGATCCCGTTCTCGTTTTCTTTCCTCTGTTCCTCTTGCCTTGCCTTCCGGCTGGTCCCTCCCAGAGTCTTTCAGCTCCTCTAAACATGAATTTGCTGAAATCTCTCAGATCTTAGACTATCACATGGAACCAGGATGAGCGAAAAATGGCTGGGTATCTCATGGTCGATTTCTGGTTGACTGTGGGATTTTACTCTCGACTTCTTATCAAGCAAGCTGCAGGTCGGGTGTACTAAAACGATCTTGCTGAACTCCCAACAGTTCACAGCAGAAACATCAAAATGGGACACAAACCCAGGCATTTCTCCAGATGGCTCATTTGTTAGTTTTAAGTTTTGATACAGTGAAAACTTTCCAATCTTTGTTTTGAGTCTGCCTTTTAAAAGCTTTCTTTGTGTCTGTTTCTGGTCACACGTGTATCAGTTTTGCATAATAATCACATTTTAAAGCAACATCCCCAAGATAATGCATTTTAAACATTCGTTTACCTAATACAGAATGCGGGCCCTGCTTTTTTGATGGGAGACGCCTCCTAGAACATTCAGAGAAGTGCAAATTTCATAGAATAACTGGGTTTGAGTTCCCATAATGGCTCACGTAATTGAGACGTCTGTTCAGTCATTGACCCAATTTCTCCCACATTTCTGGTCAAGTGGAAAAGCACTCGGGGGAACAGCATTAAATCCTAGGCCACCAGAACTTAGTCTGTTCTTCACCGGAAGAAAAGGACAAGCCCCAGAACTTTTTCCTTTCTGTAAGTAGAATTACATTCCAGTTTGCTCTCCCCCCACCATGGATTTGCAGAGGAGAGCAATTTGCTTATTCAGCAGAAATAAAAGCTCTTTTCCTGCCCAAACGCAGCATCCTTTTCATCATCAAAGCTTCCTCCACCAATCATGCAACCATCAAGCCCAGCTTTGCTGCATTTGGCTTAGTTTCGTTGGCCCGCAGCACGAAGACAAGTCCTGCTTTTCACCAAAGGCCACGCAGCAACTCCATTATGAAGAATGATCAGGCCTGAAGAACAACACATGGAGAGCTTTGCAGAGGGAGTTTTGATTGTTTCCTCACATCTGGTTCCCAGGAATCAGATCCAGGCCAGAATGTTTCTGGAGACAGGGACGGAGGAGCCATCTTCAAAATCTTGGCCGTGTTTTATCCTCTGGTTTGGGAGAGTTCTGTTTAAAACAGCAACGAGGATTGCAAACACAGGATGAAGCATCATGTTCCAGGGACAATGCATTTCTTAACCGACCCTCCGTGTGCATGCTAACGGCAAGGTCAGGGAAGCCAAGCAGAGGTACAGAAAATGCAGTGGCGAATCCTTCTTTCCAGATGCCCACGTAATTCTCTCTGGAAAAGCAGAGAAGCGGCAGCAAAACGAGGCAAGGTTCTGGCATCCATACTGTCCATCGCAAGCTGGGCCTTTTGCACGCGTCTTGGCTCCGCTGCCGTTCTGGATTTGAGCCAGAGTGGGGACTTTTCATTGTTTATTTTAACGAGGCCTACCTTTTCAGATATTCAAGCAGAGCAAACGGGCCCAGCTTTGAAGAGCTGGAATGGCAGCTAATTTCATGCAGCAAACCCTTAAAAAATTCAGAGTGCTGTCAGAGCAGGACATGTTGTGCCCACCTGGTTGGGGAGAAGCCAAGCTTGCAGACTCCGCTGAGCAAGACAGACTTTGCAAGCGTAATCTCGCTGTAATCTTACCACAACAGCCTCCGCTGGGAACAGATGGCAGATTCTGCCAAAGACACTCCGTCTGAGTTTTACCCGTCATCTCTCATCCTCTCATCCACTTCTTGATGCAATCAGATTTTTTTTTACTGAAATGTTCCACGGCACGTGCATGCGAGGACGCATTAATTAAAGCACATTATGGCCGGCTGTGATGGCTCGGGGAGTTGAAGGCATGGTCCATTTTTACAGCAATTTCTACAGCTTAAAATTCAGTGCAATACACCGTCCCATGTTGTGCCAGACAGTCCAAGCAACCTATGTGCCTGCCTGCTTATTCCACCGTCCCTGTGCCCCCTGCAGATGGCAACTTAGAGGCCCTTCCCTCCTTTCTGTAGGTTTCTTACCTTTAAACCAGGTGTGGCCTGTAAGAAGAGACTCGGCACGGTCTTATCAGTGGTGGCACCCCAGTTCCCAAATAAGCACTCCGAAGAGATTCACGTGGCACCTATGCCATCCTTTCAGCAGCAGGCCAAGGCCTTCTCTTCCTCCCAAGCACTTCAGAGCCTCAGCCGTGGGTTTTACTAGCCACCTTCTTCATGTTTGGACTACTTCTGGTTCGCCATTCTATCGTATTCCAATACTTCCATTGCATTTTATCTTTTCAGCTCTCTTAAGAATGTTGGTCTTCTAGCCATTTATACTCTAGTCAGAGAATGTGAGTTTCTGGGTGGACGAGAAATCTAATTTAAACTGGGCTTGTACTGGTCAGTCATTCAAGTGTAGGATGTCTTCAGACAGAGGAGTGCGCTCTGCAAAGCTGGACACACGGACACCCCCTCTGCAGGCTGGAGCATCTGCATGGCAACAAGTCCACCGGCCGAAAACCAGCCAGAGGGGGTGTGAGGTACACACTTTAAGCTTATTTTATTTATTTTATTTTAAGCATGTTTACCCCATCCTTTACCGAGGCCTCGAGCGTCTCTCCTCTCATTTCTGGCCCCCTACAAGTGACCGGAAGGATCGCTCTTGCTCTCTTCCCATGCAGATGCGGGACCACACCTGGCCGCACCTCTTGGCTCTGGGGGCACACGGGGAACCCCCCGTTCCATAGCGCTGCGAGCTCTTGCAAAGACAGATCATCAAAGCCGAGCCGTATTTCGCGAGTCACTTGGGCCGCGACCATCCGAGGCAACGAGTCGTTACCAAAACCCACTGGCCGGCTTCCAAACTGAACCCAGCTCGCCGGGAGAGCCAGCTCCTCGCACGGCAAAGGTGACCACAATGACAGGCCTGCGAGACGGCAACCCCGTATTATTCCCATGACTTCACCCACACCGGCGTGGCTCGTGGACACCGCGTTACAGGGGACTTGGTGTTCTAATCACCGCCCTCGAGCTGCCCCTGACCCCACTGAACGTTACGTGTCCCCCCGGAAAGACGCCCCCCGCCCCATGTTGGGTTCAAGCCAGGCCAGCCACATTAAGCAGCGTGTGGGACCGAAAGGCTCCCAGGTTCAGGCCCACAGGACAGAAAAGCACGCCTATTTGCATAGGCTAATTTATATCTGCTCTGAAGTCCCTGCTACCTACAGGAGCCTGTCTCGTTAAAACAATCCTGCATGCAAATGTGGAGACGGGGAGAAGAGGGTGCTTAGACCCATGTCTTTGGGAGACCCTCTGTCCCCTCCATGAGACAGGGGAGAAGAGGGGGCTTGATTGAACCCTGAAAAAATCCAGACAGAAAGAAAGATCTAAGGGGCAGCAGAGGGAAAGCCCCTGGGGGTTTAAAGGCAGCTAATTCAGGGGATACAACCTGGGCCCCCAAACCTGCATTTCAGAAAGTGATGGGACAGAGGGTCTCCCAAAGATACGGGGGTCCAAAGGAAAGATTTGGGGCTCCAGCCCTCCTGGGACGCTTCCTAGTGCTGTCTCGCAGCAGGTAAAGTGAGGCAGCTGGCCCAGGTGGACGATGCGGGCAGGTGGCAGAAAGGTGTGCAACATTCAGCTGCATCCGGACAGCTTTTCATCCAGAGGGAGCGGGACTTGGTTCCTGGAACGTGTGCACACGATTGCAGCCTGAATTCGCTGGGAAAAGATGCTTCCCCTCTTAGGCCAAATTTTGCACGAGGATGGCTGTTGATACGCAAGAGTGCAAACTCTTCACATGGTCAGGGGACTTACCTCCTGAGCTATTCCTTGAGGACTGCAGTGCTGGCTAAGATTGTGTCTCATTATTTTGGGCTAGAATTACCTTCAGGAGGTGACACAGTTCCGTGTTGCACCTCACTGATCACAGCTTTTGAGTGCAGTGGGAGCTCTCCGTGGTGCTGAATGCCATTCTCGCAATGGAGTCACCAGCATGGAGCAGCCTATAAAGCTCACAGCAAAAGCTGACGTGGATAAGGAACCCCACCAGCCTGGGAAACATAGAAACATAGCGAGTCAGAAGAGGCCTCCCGGGCCATCTAGTCTGACCTCCGGCACCAGCCGGCTCCACTCCCAACATTGCCCACCTCCTCTGGTCATCCTCTGACCAGTCCTTGCCCCCCTCTTTTGAGGGGTATCCCCCTCAAAAGAGCCTCTCACCTCTGGTACCTATCACCCAATGAGAACCTTAAATCATGAGAAACCCCTTAAGATTCAAAATCCACCTTCCTGCATCGTTTCTAATACAGAGGAAAAGTGAGTGGCACAGCTCCTCCTGGACCATACCACCATGAATCTCAGGCGGGGGAGTTGGCAGGAATATCCTCACCCATGTTAAATAACAAAAGTTTGCTTTCCACATGCAGCAAGTGAGCGATAGGGTTTCTGTATTATTTTAATGTTTTCATCTTCTGGATTGAACATCGACTCTGATGCAATTGGTGGTCCGTTTCCAACTTCACCGTATAATTTGCAACATTAGACAATTAGAAATGCATCTGATGGCCGATGTCCATTTGAAAAATGGGCCTTAAAAATACATACCTAGGAACCATCGTGTAAATACACTTTAATCAATGGGGAAAGGACGCGTCAGACATTTGAAAAAATGTGCGTGGAAGTAGCCACAGATTCTTGTGACAGGGGGAAACAGAGCGACCTGACACAGACGTGCGCTGAACCGAGCTTCCAGATGAATTCAGAAAACTTTGTCAACTTCAAGTTCTCTCTATTGGCATCCCAGAATCTCTCTGGGTATGACTCATAACATGGCCATAGGACTAACAACAGGTTTGGCATTGGTTTAATGGCTCTTATCCAAGGCATTCTGGGGAATGTAGTTTTATCAGTCGCTGGAGGGATTTACAGCTTTGGGGGTTGGGGGTTAGGATCTTAGACTGGGTAGCAGGTTTGAAACTGGTTATACATAGCTTCCAAGTAAGTTATGGGTAGAAACACCAACATAATCTTGCAGCAGGGAGAACCTATTAATTACTGTTCATTAATCCATATCAATGGTTAGCATACTCCACATAACCCCAACATTTCAGGCTCCAAGTAGGGTGCTGGTATCGTATCTGTCCCTTTTTATACCTCAGGAGTCAACAGCAC